TTTCTCAATGCTATTCTCATGCTTGTCACATGTGTTGATTGTTCATCAGCTGTTAATACTCGAAATGATCTCACTGAAGTAAAAAATAACTAGAATCTTATTGAAATTTAAACTAAAACTATTTTTGATAATAGATTGAAAAAGAAGTTTGTTTGTCAACAGGAAAATTTGAAGATTTCATCAGTGAATTTCTGAATCGAACATTCCAAATGATTGATACATTATCAACTGAAATGTCTGATGCTGTTGTTGTTATTTCTAAAACTAATGTTGAAGATCATGTAACAGAATTAGCATTGACATCAATGATGTTTGGTATTGTTCAACAATGTAGTAATAAAATATTTCAAGTAAATTCATTAATTCAAATAAAGATTAAATTATATATTCAAAAAAAATAATTCTTTAGATGGTACGAGAAAAAATAACAAATTTTCTTGCTGGATCATTTTTTACACCAAAAGTTGGAAAACTTGTTACTGGTCTTGTTCGAGCGATTCTCAAAGGAAGACCAGAAGAAACACTGAAATATCTTCTTCCACAGACATGTGAACGTATTGAAAATATTATGAGTCATGCAGAAACAACAATATTAACTGATCATAAAGGAGATACAGAATTAACATGGTGTTTAACACTTTTTTCTGAACTCGTTCGTGCTCGTGGTGATACTTTACTTATTTATAAACCAATGATTCTATCAGTTTTTCATCGATGTGTTCGTATTATTCATAAAGAAACACATGACGCTGTTGCAAGTGCTGCAAAAAACATACTGAAAGCATTGTCTTATGTTTATGCAACTGAATATCGATTAACAACAGAAAATATTGAAGAACCATTTACAGACTTCTTACCTATTCGAGTAAACTTGTTTGATAATAAATGTATGTATTTAAAATAGGAATATTGTTGTTGTTGTGTTAAATAGGCATGGGGTCAACATGTTGAATTTGATAAACTTCAAGTAAAATTTCATGTTCCGAATGAAGACGAAGTTGATTTTGCATGTGAATTTGTTGAGACATTTATTTATCCTGAATTAGAATTACTAAATGAAAAATGTTCAAAAATGTCAAATGATGAACGATTAAGATCGCTTACAATAATACGTTTCATAGCTATCGGATGCTTTCGTATGGTTCCACGTATCGATAGTAAAGAAGTATTAAATTTGTAAGTATATTTTGAAAGATTCTTTTTTGTTTAAATATATTATCATACAATATCTCTGCTAGAGTACCATCAGTAGTACCGATTGATACTAAAAAGCGACCGAGATATACACTCTATGCTAAAGAACCTAGTAAGTAATAAAAATCAAAAGAAGATAATTATTAATGAATATTTATTTAGAATTTAAAGAAAATTTACGAATGCGTCTAGTTATTGATATAGGAAAATTACTTGGTAAATTTATTCTTACTAAAATAAATAGATATTTCATATTGTGCCTTTTTATAGATGTTCTTGTTGAAAATCATTCTGATGATGCATCATCTATAAAAACAGCTTTGAAAGTAAATTATTTAATTATATATATTTTTGTTTTTCTGGAGTTTTGAATTTTTTTAGATTTATTCAATAACATCAGTTTATTTCGGTGTATTTGAAAATTTTGTTGAAAAATTATGCAAAGATCTTGAGTCCATAAAATATTCATTTAAAGATAAACTCTCTGGTAAACGAAAACATCCTCGTTTTGTTATCATTAAACGAATTGCAATACAACTTGAAGTAAATCAATTAATCTTTACGCACACACTAAACTTCTATTTATTATAGTTATTTTCCATCAGTAATTATCAAAGTTTAACTGAAATTGATAAACAAGTTATATTCAAATTATTCGAATTATCAATTCATCGATATGGTGAAGTAAGCAGAAAAAAACAAACTATTTAATAAAACAATCATTGAGATTAAATTTTTGTTTAGGTTCGTCGTAATGCACAAGTTTATTTATTTCATATTTTACGACGTTATCTTTTTTCCTATCAAGTAATTATTGATCGTATTCTTGAATTACTTGATAAACCAGGTGACGCTGATCATGATCAAATCAAAGGTTGTCTTTATATTCTTCTTGGAAATGATTCAATATTTATTCCAACCAAACATTCATGGACATTATTAGAAAAATTATGGCCATCACTTGCACGTACAATGCATGCAACTAAAATTAGTACACAAAATTTACTTGATCGTATTATGGAAAAAATTGGTAAACAATTTGATACTCCAGCTATTATTGAAGATACAAATGATGTAGCAATGAAAGCAGCAATTGATCTATGGAGACCATTAGATGCAAATGAACTGCAATCACGTGATCAAATGCGTGATGAACGAAATCAAGCAAATATTCGTTCGTATAATAATCTTATGGAAATATTAAATTCATTATTTTATGGTGATCCATTGTATGTTCTCTTATTTATTTTCTTTTCTCTTCTTATGTATATATGATTAAAGGACTTGGCGACAACAAGAAATGACAATGGCTTTCATATGGTTACTTCTTCAGAAACGAATTCCAATACCATCATCGTGTATTCGAACATTTGTGGATTTTCTCATTCATGATAATGTTGAATTACGAAAGGTTTATTTTGATTCATTTTCAGAAAATATCCTCATGAATATTTTTAATTACTTTGTATAGATTTCTGAAAAAGGTATTGCCGCATTTTGTCGCATACAAAAACCACCACGATTTTATGTTGAAAAAACTCTTCAAGAGATTCTTCAACGTCCAGTTAATGTTGATGAATGTCATCCAGGTGATCGAGATGATAATCTATGGATAACAATCAATGATTATAAACCACCAACATCACAAATCCAATGGGAAGAAACATGTTTTATGGATAAAAGTTATCATGGTTATTATAAATGGCCAAAAGTAATTCGATATCCATTAAATAAACGAGAACGATATACAAAAGAAAATATGCCTGAAAATGTTAGAATTCTGTATGAAAAATTTATTGATAAAGATTTTATAAATAAATTTACACAATTTATGGTTTTGGATGAAGAAAAAGGAAAGATTAATTTTGATGCAAGACGGTTTAATATGTTTAAAGTAAAGAAAAATCGAAATATGAAATAGTTTTTTTTTGGAAAAAAGAATAATTTCTTCTAGGGACTTTTTCGTAATTTTGGTTCAGCATTTGTTGATAATTTTATGGAAAGATTATATATATTGATACATGAAAAAACGAAAGAAAAACATGAAGGAAGTCATCGAGTAGCAGCTGAAATTGTTGGTGGACTTATTCGTGGTTCAAAAAATTGGACAGTAGAAGCGGTTTGTCATTGTCTTTTTTTTTCATTTTCAAAAGAATAATAAATCTTCTTTAGCTTGATGAATTATGGTCAAAATTAACACCATTTTTGAATGAAGTTTGTTCGAATCTCAGTCCAGAAACGCTTTCTCATTGGGGTACATGTTTTAAATTGGGAATTGTTAGTAAAAAATAAATTATTATTTCATTTTCTAATAAAATTATTCGATATAAATAGGAAGATGAAGATCCACGTCGAATGTATCGTCCAATTGAATTTATACGTTCATTAATAAATATACATCCAACAGGAAATACATTTCTTGAAACATCACGTTGGTATCTTGTTCAAACATTAACTAATTTTGAATGGCGTGTACCAGCTATATGGTGTCTCATTAATGAACAAGCTAGAGATTTACTTGATCATCCATTTAAAGCTTTTCGAGAACGTATTGCAAAGTAAAAAATAACTAAATGAAAGGAAAATTCTTTTTATTCGAATAAATACATTTTTTTATTTAGTATTTTATCAGTTTCATTGAGTTTTGATGTAGCGTTGCCCAATGGTCAATCAGTACGTCATCCAAATGCGAATAAGTTTATTGATGCAATGCGAGAACGATTACAACAAGCAATTGAAATTTATGAAAAAACACCATTAGGTATAATATTCTATTAAATAATTATTGACTCATCATATAAAAAATATTTCCTTTTAGCTAATGTATCAGGTCAAGTTGTAGAAATCGATCCAGAAGCTCGAAAAGCTTTAAATTTTATTGAAACAGGTTAAAAAGTCAATTATATTAATAGATTTAACAATTATTTTCATATGTTTTTGTAGTGATACAATTACATACACATTTATTTACTCGATGTTTACAACCAATGAAACTTTCAGTTATTCGAATATTTCCATTAGTATGTTTCTATCCTATTTTTTTGCTATAGACTTAAAGTTTTGATTAATTTTAGCTTTGCGAATTAGAAAGTATTGTTGCAAATGATGATTTTATTCGTAAAAATTTAACAATCACTCGAATGTGTGTTGCTATGAGTTATTTGCATATATCATTCATTGAACCATTAATCGAACAATTAGAACAAGTGAGTTATTCGAAACTAAATTTCATTATTTATTCTTTTAAATATTAAAAAAAGGTTTGTTCAAGTTCCAAATGGCATGCACGTCGTGCTGCTATTGAGTTTGTACAAAATATGATCTTTTGTAATCT